CATGCAGGTCCCCCCGGAGAGTGACTGGGAGTGCAGGTGGGGCTTTATTTGACATGTGTGGTCCACACTTCATGGCTTCATGAAAGTCACCGTGGGAAGGCCATCTTGTGAAACTGGGTGAGAAGTTTAATGGTGAGGGACAGAGGTGGACAGCAGCCGGGAGCACCTGGGTGGCCTCTGTCCCTGCCCACGGACCTGGCACTGAAAGGGCCCCCCAGGAAAGTCATAGCCCCACCTGCCAAGGACAAGCTTGTGCCCCACAGAAGCCTCAGCTCCTTTTCTCTAAGATGGAGGTGACAGAGATGACATTGCCTCCTCCCAGCCTGGTCCAGCTCCGCCCCAACCTGCAGCACCTGGAATCTGCCATGTGCCCCTTGGAGGTGGCCTTTGGGGTTGAGCCCCCAGTGACTTTTAAAGTCCTCCTTGTCATTCAGTTTGGATCTCATGTGCCATCTTCCAAGAAAGACTGCTCGGCCCTATGTGGGTATGAATGGTACCTCCTTGGAGCTTGGAGCCCCCACTTTGGGTCACTTTTTATGCCCCATCCATGTGCCATAAGCAGCCTGGAGCCGTGAGAACCAGGGCCTGCGTCCCCAGGCATTTAGAGCGCCCGATGGACTGGAATATACCAGGTACCCCCCCACCCCATGCACCCAGCCTGGCACCAGGCCCTGAGGACATGCCTAGGGCAAGGATGGCCTGCACTCCTGAGCTGACGCTTTTAGGGAGCAGAGCACTGGCTAGTGGACATGTGTGCACAAGCATTTGCACAATTAAATGACTCAGGACATGGTGCAGGATGTGATGAAACACACTGGATTTGTAGACAGCGTGTTTCCGGATTCTTCTGGGGAATGCTGTACCACCTCCCCTGACTCCATTGCCTTTCTTGGGATGGGTCAGCCCTTATGATGAGAGATGGCTCCCCCATCTCAAATAGAGACACAGGATTCTTCGACCTGCGACCTCCACACCCAAGGATCCTAGACAATCAGACCAGGAGTAACACTGTGGTCCTCTTAACACCATCTGGCCCTCTCCGAAATACACTGCCCTTTTTGAAATTTGTGATAAATTATGTATAACATAAAATTTACCGCCTTAGTCATTTCTGTGTACAGTTCAGTCGTGTTAAGTACATTCACACTGTTGTGCAACCAGTTAATTCCAGAATGCTGTTCATCTGAATTCAGCTCGAGCTCTTTGGAACTTTCCACAAACATAGGCCCCCTCCCCCAACTCTGGCTTCTTAGCTGGTCCACCAGGTTGGCTTTGACATCCTCGGAGTTGTCTTGAACTTTTAGCGAAATTAGCGTTATCAGCTTTTAAAATGATCATGCTAGCTAGCCCTTTAATTCAGCTGACTGGGCATGGTCAAGAAATCGAAGCAGCGGTGTGATGGGTGCCCTGCTTCAGAGCCTCGGGGTCTCCTCAAAGGAGGTTAGAAAATCAGTGATAGGATCCTGCAGCGCCATCCTCAAAAGTGTGGTCTCCCATCAGCCGTGAGTCTGACAGCCGAGGTTTTACTAACTCACCCTTCAAGACGGTGGCAGGAAGATGTGTTTTTCCAGCCACATATTTCTTGATAGTTTTCCCCCAAAGTAAAATGTATCATTTTTGTTTCTTAGGTGCCTCCTTCAATTTCTCATAGTCTAGCTTTTCTTCCCTATACACCTGGGAATGCCCGGTCCACCTGCCAGGGTTCAGGGTCAATCGTGGAGCTCCACGGTCAAGTTCAAGATGGACTCCTGGTCACAGCCCAGCTTCACTAGCTGTGGGACCATGAGAAAGCTACTTAACACCCTCCCCACGCCTCGGTTTCACCGTTTGTGAAATGGTCTGCGCAGCGCCAGGCACGCGTGAGTGCTTGGGGAATTGTGGCTGTAGGTAGGATGACAGCTGTAGGGTATTTGGATGCTGAAATGGACCAGTGTTGGCGACTCGCTTGCGTCCCACGTGCTCTGGCCTTAATAAGCTCTCTGAAGGCAGGACCCATGCCGGATACATCTGTCCCCCGAAGCAGCCAGGATGGTGGTGGATACATAATAAGGTCTTATTAAATACTTATTCAAGTTAATTCATGATTTCCAAAGATGATCAGCATTGCGTTCTCTTTATTCTCTGTGACTGTACCAGGTGATGGGGCAGCTTGCTTGTTCTTGGGTTTCCCCCACATGTGAGTGTTTTTAGGTCTTTTCTTGTTGGGAGAGGAAGAGTATTTTGGCTTCCCTGGAGAAAGAGCCTCCAGCTTGCGGGCCAAGTCCTGGCCGGCGTGCTGGGAGGGTGGGGGCACCAGCGATGGGTGCTCTCTAGTTGGTGTACAGACTGACCCTTTTCTTCCCCAGACACTCACCTTTCAGGTTGGTTCTGCACCCTCCTTCCTCTGGGCCTATTGTTCCCCTGCCCAGAGTGTCTCCAGAGGCTCCCCTCTTTGGAGATGGAGGGGGGCACTCACCTATCTGTGCTGGTGGTGGGACCCAAGGGTCTGTACTGGTCAGGGTCGGTCAGCTGCTAGGACAAACGGCCCCCACATCCTCAGTGCTTAACACAATAAAGATGTATTTCCTGATCTTGTTACAAGGGGAGGTCTTCGCTCCATGCGGTCATTCAGGGACTTAAACTTCTTCCTTTTTGCAGGTCTGCCATCCCACGTCCTGCCTCCCCTGGGGTCCCAGGAAGGAATAAGCCCTGATACCCTGAAGCATCTGCTGTGCACAGTGAATGACTTCTCGCCTGTGCACCTAGAGTGGTACTAGTTATGTACCGTCCTCAGAGGACCGAAAGAAATGGGCACTCCAGTCATTTACTGTGGGGCGTGGTCAGATGAGGAGGCACGGTGGAGGGAGGCTATGGGGCTTGCTCCCTCAGGGGCCTCTGAGTCCTCCCCTGGTTATTGTGTGTCTAGCAGGCAGGAAAGGGCATTGCCCAGGCCAGACTCAGAGGGGCCACGCATCACTCCATCCTGTGAGCCCCCAAAGCTTTCAAGAAGTGCCCCCTGCACTGCATCCCCCCAAAAGGGGGCATCCAGGCTCTACTGGAATGCCAGCTTTGCCAGAAACCTCCCCAAAGTTAGCCAGACCTGAAAGCAGGTGTCTGCACGTGTTCATGCACAACCACCATCACCACAGGGGCGAGTACGCCTCGCCCCAGGGCAGACACCAGCTCTGCAGAAGCGGTCAGAGAAGGAGGTGCTGGGCCACCGGATTTTGCAGCCCCAGGTGTCTGCCTGTGGGCCACACAGGAAAGGGCTGGGAAAGTGGAAGCCGCCCCAGGCAGACCTTGGAGCACCGTGGCTGTCACCTTTTAGAGGTTATGTTGATAGAACGTGTCCCGCTCCCTCATGTGGTCCCTTCCTTTCTGTAAACATGTGTTACATCTGGTGGAGGAGGTGCTAGGAGTTTGGCATTTCTGTGGGCTGTGAAAGAACAAAAATCACAGACACATTCTGAGGCCAGTTGAAGTCTTGTTCTGAGCGGTGGCTGGTTTTCATGGAGGCGAGTGGATTCTGAAAGGACCGATCCTGAGCTCTCGGAGCCTCGAGCATCCCAGAAGGTGTCTTGTCTCCATGATGGAAAGTGCAGGAAGGCACGTTAGAGAGATGATGGGCCACTGACTATCAGACAGACACAGAAACACATGCAAGTGTATCTTCTCTTGTTTTCACAAATGGTAGCAAACTCTGTATTCTGTTCTGCACCTTTTCTTTTCACTTAAAAGCAGATCTTGAAGGTTGTTTCACGTCAGTCCACAATGGCAGGCGCCTGCGTTTTTTGTTATTACAGATAACGGTGCACACAGGCTGTGTGCACAGATGGGAGCATCTTTAGATGTGTTCCTAGAAGTGGGGTTACTGCGTCCAAGGGGAAGTGCTTATAATTGTGAAAGATGTTGCCAAACAGCCCTACCTGGAGATTAGAAAAAGAACTTTTCTATAATTTAAATTTATATAAAATTTACATAATTTAAAGTCGTAAAAATAATGATATGTATGGATAAAACTAATAAAACCTGGGAGAAGGAAAGAAGAAAGAGGAAGCACCAGGGAAAATATGTGAACTACAGTGATTATCTCTCATAATGGAGAGTCTGTGCATAATGTTTAGAATTCACAAATGTTAAGAAGCAGTTCAGAGTGGTTCCCTCTGGGAGTAGGGAGGGAAACCTTTTGTTTTTATTTTCTATTTTATATGCTCCCAAAATGATTAAGCCATGTGCATGTGTTACTGTGAAAATCAGAAAATAAAATGAAATGTTGAGATGAAAGCTGTATGAATGGCTGGCAGGAATATCACACCAGGGTCAGTCTTACATCCAGGTCTCATGGAAAACCTCCGTGGGGAGCACGCTTCTGTCCTCCCGCAGGTGCCTGAGATTTCACTATGAACATTAGAGACATCACGTCTCTTGGTGCTAATTCTAGATCCACAAAGTGTTTCTCAGAAGCAAAATAAAGTTACTAAAAAGTCCTTAAAAGTTTCTGGGTGCCTGTTCTAGGGATAAAATCAGAACGTGGTGCCCCAAAGAGAAAAGAACTGCTCAGAACACGTCGGGTATGGGTTGGGGTGAGGGCAGGCGGCCTGACAGTTTTGCCTGGAGCTGATGAGGGTGATGAGAGGAAGGATTTCATCCTCAAATCTTGTACAGCCCCTGGTGGGCACTTGATGAACGCTTCATTCCGTTGATTTTAAGTTGCCATCCCCCCCTCCATTTCCACATTCTGGAAGTCAGGATGTGTCTTGCAGTGAGGGCGCCCTGTCCTGACTCCACTGGAGCATCTGAGCCTTCCTAGTGGTACCTGGACTGACAGCTGCTTCCCCGCAGCAGGTCCTAGATGGCCTGAGACATCCCAGGCACCGAGATGGCCCAAAGCGGACCTCTCCAGCCCTTGGTGCAGAACAGCGGAACATGCTAGGGACCTTTCTCCACCTCGATCGTTGGCTGTGGGCCGTGGGGAGCCCTCCGCCACCCCAAGGTCCCCAGCCGGGTCCCCTGTCTTGCAGGTGTCGCCGCCGGCCACCATGGGCAAGCAGAACAGCAAGCTGCGGCCCGAGGTGCTGCAGGACCTGCGTGAGAACACGGAGTTCACGGACCACGAGCTGCAGGAGTGGTACAAGGGCTTCCTCAAGGACTGCCCCACCGGCCACCTGACCGTGGACGAGTTCAAGAAGATCTACGCCAACTTCTTCCCCTACGGCGACGCCTCCAAGTTCGCCGAGCACGTCTTCCGCACCTTCGACACCAACGGCGACGGCACCATCGACTTCCGGGAGTTCATCATCGCGCTGAGCGTGACCTCGCGGGGCAAGCTGGAGCAGAAGCTGAAGTGGGCCTTCAGCATGTACGACCTGGACGGCAACGGCTACATCAGCCGCAGCGAGATGCTGGAGATCGTGCAGGTGCGTCCCCCGCGGGGCCGGCGGGGCGGAGGCGGCGGGTTCCCCGAGGCTGAGCCCCCTCCCGGCGTGTGCTCTCTCTGCTCATCTCCGGCTTCAGTCCTTCTCTGCTGGGTGGCAGCCCGCCCGTCTCTCGTGCACTTGTGAAAGTGAGCGGTTGGCCCCTGACCGGTGGGTCCTTGCAAATAGTGGTAAGAGCCGGTGTTTACGGATCACTGGCCGTACATCAGGCCTGGCCTGAGGGCTTTGATGAGCTGTGACCTTCTCAACCCTGAAGTGGGGGTCGTTCTCAGCATGTCACAAAATCTGGGGCTCAGAGCAGTGATTCTCTAACAATCAACAGAGCTGAGAATTATAGGAATTGAGAGGACCCTTGACACTTGCAGAAGCCACCTAAGACCTTTTCAAGGCCCCTCATTCGAGAATGCAACAAACATCTTGTCGCATCCCCAGGAACGTTCAGTTGTAAAGAAAACTGCAACGTTAGTGACCACAGAGAGCTCGGGCCCCACCCCAGGGTGTCCCCTCCTCTGAACCCCTTCTCGCCTCCTGTCAGCTGCTCTGGCAGGTGAGGTCATTTTCCAGAAAGAAACCGAGTTTTGTTCACTTCCCCAGATTCCTAGGCATGTGATAGAGACCACAGAGCGGCCGCTCCCTGGGGTCCCCCCGAACCCCAACTCCTGGAGCCTCGGGGGTTCAGTTCCAAAATTCCTTACAGGAGGCATTCTTTACACCGAAGGAGCTTCAGGGCTCAACCACAGGCAAAGCGGCCTCACCAGCTCCTAGAGCAAGTGGCTTGAGGCGTGACCAACCTGCCTCCGGAACAGGTGGTTTTTACACAGTGAGGATAAGTCGCCGCCGGCTCGGGGAGCCCCGTGCTTCAGCTCTTGCTCCTGGCTCTTAGCCCCGGGCGGTGGTGGAAGTAACACATCTGCTTCCCGGGAATCTCCTATCCAGCCCCTGTGCCAGCCCGTACCCTTCTGCAAACAGCCATCCCTGTCACTGGCCAAGCAGACTGGCCTTAGAGACACGGCAGGCTCGTTCAGAACAGCGCGGGGTGCCAGGCCTGTCCAGATGGGACCTGGCTGCTAGGCCACCAGGCCGTATTCCCAAACCCTGAGTCCCTTCCCCTGGCACCTGCGGGTGGCTTGCTGGGTGGGACCTCCGGCTGCTACACCTTTGTCAAAACGGACTGGGATCTGCGTACTTCACAGCCCACCAGAGGCCTGGGTGGGTCTTGACTCTGTCTCCTCTGTGCTCAGACCAGGGCCTCGCCCCGTCCCAGGAGCGGGTCCTGTCCCAAGAGGCCCTGAGATACACACTGCCGTGCTGTGAGGCCTGGCCAGCACCCCCGACAAATGGAGGGGGGCAACGAGGGGAGAGCGTAAGGGTATCAGAAGCCTCGCCTGGGTCTATCCTTCTTTGGTTTTGTTCTGTAAACCTGCTATTAACATCAAACAACTCTCAGACTTCTGCTGTTCTTGGTCTGCTATTTCAGGAGTGAGAATACCAGTCGAGCCATTTCCGCACAGAATCCCCCAGTGGCACGGGCCCTCCCCGACCCCGGCCTTGCACGTTACTCTGATGAGCTGCTGGTCACTGGCCTCATCACAGCCCCCTGGACACATGCACATACACCCACCACCGCACGGGGCACCTGCCCGGGCCAGGCCCCTTGGACAGAGACTGCCAGCAATGGTGCCAAGCCCTTGGATGGCAGTGCCCCTGAGAGAAGGTTCTCTGTCCTGCTGGACAGAACTGCCGCCCTGGCCCTGTCCTTGCTGGGGCTGGTGGGGTTCAGGGACTAAGTCTTTTTAGCTTTTACCGGAGGTACCGTGACCCCATGGTTAAGTGTGCACGGCTCCGTGTGCAGTGTGGCAGGCTGTGCACACATATGCTCGTGTCATCATCCTCGGTGAGTTCTGGAGCATTTCCACTGTCGCAGTGGGTGGTTTGGCCTGTTCTTGAACTTCACGTAAATGAGCCTGGCGCCTTTCGCTCACCTGCCGTCTGTGATACGCATCCACACTGTTGGGAGGACCAGGGAACATTATAGCCGGGGAAGGGTGAGCATCCGGCCCTCTCATCCGGCCGTGGGCTGTGCGGAAGCACACACCTGTGCCCCGCTCGCCGGGGAACAGCCCGGAACCTCGGAGCACACACGTCTTGCGCCCCTTTGCAGGCTATATACAAAATGGTGTCCTCCGTGATGAAGATGCCCGAGGACGAGTCCACTCCGGAGAAACGGACGGACAAGATCTTCAGGCAGATGGACACCAACAACGACGGTAGGAACCCTGTGTGTCTCTGCCGCGCCGCTGGGAGCAGAGATGTGTCTGGGACCCTTCCCTCCCCCTCTGCAGCTTCTCAGTCCTCGACAGCACCCCCCCAGCCTTGCCCGGTCAGTGCAGTTGCAGAGGGGAGAGCCAGGGCTCAGAGGCGGGGACACCTGGGCCAGAGTCCTGCTCCCCTGAGCCATAGTCTCCTCGATTCTAGAATGGGGAGACATGGACCTGTCCTGGGGAGAAGAGGCAGGGGAAGCGAGTCCCTTTGCACCCCATCATTCTGACATGCCCCAGTGGCCCCTGGGGGCTCTGCTGGGACGTGCTGGCCCTCAGCAGCTGGGCCATGGTCTCTGGGACCACACCGCAGCAGCAGAAGTGGCTGGTCATACAGGGAGGATGTGCCCCAAGTTTCCTTCTCTGCATTAGCCGTGAGCTTCTGCAGGAGCCACGCCGGGGAGGGTAGCTATGAAACTTGATGGCTCCCCGCCTCCCACCGGCGTTGTCAAGTGCAGTCCCCAAACCAGGTCTGCTTTGCTTTTGAATGATAGAGACGCAGCATTTAGAAAAGAAAAAAAAATACCCCCTGGGCTGTGCTGAAAATTAAAAATAAGCTAATGCACAGAGAAGTGCT